AGAAATTTATCATTAATTTTTACATTTCAATTATTATCTGCTTGAGGATGTATCATCATTTACTCAACCGGACCACTCTTGATGTATATTTAAATGGTGACTACTTATTATGAAAATGCAAAAATTTCCTTGAAGTGGGATTTCTGGGTCAAAAATAGATGCTACTATGACTTTCTTCAATTTTTTAATTGTCGTTAAATATACATAACATACAGTTTCCCATCTTAACCATTTATAGGTATACAGTTTAGTGATATTAATTACATTTATAAGGATGTGTCTGCAACTCTTTTCATTTTATAAAACTGAAACTTTATACACATTAAACAATAATTCCCTATTCCCTTCTTCCCCATGACCCCCGGAATACACAATTCTACCTATTGTCTCTGTGATTGTGACGAAGTAACTTATATAAGTAGAATCATGTGGTATTTATCTTTTTTAGGATGAGCTTATTTCATCTATCATAATGCCCTCAAGGTCTAGCATATGTGAGCCTTTCACTATCCGTTTGTGTCTTGACATCTAAACTGAGTCTGTTGTAGACAACATATAGTTGGATCATGCTTCTTTCTCAATCCATTTGGTCAATCTCTGTCTTTGACTGGAGAGTTTAATTAATTAACATTTAAAGTCATTACTGCTAAGGAGGGACTTCTGTCATTTTGATATTTGTTTTTTTTTTTCCATAGTCTTAAAGTTTTCTCATTTTCATTTCCTTCAGCACTGTCTTCTTTTGTGTTTAGTTGATTTTTTGTAGTGTTTAAATTGTTTTTTTTTTAATTTTCTTTTGTGTGTATTCTATAACTGTTTTCTTTGTCTTCATCATGTGAATTATATTTAAATCCTAAGGTCATAGCACTCTAAGTTAAATTTATGCCAGCTTACATTTAACAATATATAAAATTCTGGGGCACCTGGGTGACTCAGTCAGTTGAGTGTCTGACTCTTGATTTTGGCTCAGGTCCTGATCCCAGGTACAGGGGATCAAGCCCTGCAGTGGGCATTGCACTGAGCATGGAGTCTGCTTGGGACTCTCTCTTCTTCTGTCCCTCTCCCCTGCTCCTGAACTCTCTCTCTCTCTCTCTAAGAGAAATTAAAAAAAAAAAATACAAAACTCTGCTCTTCTCCAGTTAAATCCTCACCTTTTTAGTCTATTTGTGTAACAAAATTACACGTTTATATATTGTGTGCCTGAAAACATAAAGTAATAATTCTTTTAAATTTCTTAGTCTCTTAAATTATGTAGAAATCACAAATTAGAGTTACAGACTTTGGTACTATAATACCAGCTTTTGTGATTGCCCATACATTGACCTTTGCCAGATCTTTGTTTCCCCCTACCGCTGGACATTATTGCCTGGTGCCTGCCCATTGTAACCTGCAGGATTCCCTTGACACTTCTTGCAGGGCTGGATTAGTAGTAATGAACTCTCTCAGCTTTTATCTGGCAAGTCTTAATTTCTCTGCCACTTTAGAGGACAGTTTTCCCAGGTATAGAATTCTTTTTTGACATTTTTTTTTTCTTTTAGTACTATGAATAAATAGGGTCACTGTCTTCTGGCCACCAAAGTTTCTAATAAGAAAGAGGCTGATAATCTTATTGAGGATCCTTTGTATGTGAGGAGTAATTTCTCTCTAGCTGTTTTCAAGATTCTCTTCTTGTCTTTGTGTTTTGTGTTTGATTATGAAGTGAGTTGGTGTGATTCTCTTTAAATTTATCTTAATAAATTTCATTGAGCTCTTTGGATGTATATCTGTATCTCTATCTTTCATCAGACTTTGGCAGTTTTCAGCCATTATTTTTTCAAACATTCTTTTTCTTTTCTCCTTCTGAGACTCCCACAATGTGTATGTTGGTCTTGTTAATAGTGCCCTGTTGGTCAGTTAGGCACTGTTCCCTTTTATTTAATCATGGGTTTTTTTTATTTTTCTGTTACTCAGCATCAATAATTTCCATTACCCTAGCTTCAAGTTTATTGATTCTTTCTTCTGCCTGCTCAAATTTGCATTTCAACCTCTCTAGTAAACTTTTTATTTCAGTTCTAGAATTTATTATAGTTTCCTGTAGTTTCTTTTCAGGTTATCTGTCTCTTTTCCATTTTATTAATACATAAGTTTCTTGACTTTCTCTACATCTATTTTTAGTTCTTTGGACATCTTTAAGGCAGCTGTTTTAACGTCTTTATCTAGTAACTCATCAGTCAGGTGTTTTTCAGGGCCAATCTCTATTCATTTTTTTCCCTTTGAATGGGCCATACTTTTCTGTTTTTATGTATATCCTGTGTCATTGTTATTGTTGCTGTTGTTGTATATACCCTGTGTTGTTGTTGTTGTTGCTGAAAACTGGACATTTGAATCTAATAATGTGGTAATTCTGGAAATCAGAATTTTTCACCTTCCCAGAATTTACTGGTTTTTATTTCTATTTTTGTTTAATTGTGCTTGTGTGTGTGTGTATACATATACATGTACATATACACACATGTATACGTATGTGTGTGTATACATGTATATATGTTTTCTTTATTGTAGTCTGTCTCTGCACTGAGGACTAGTCTGAGGTGTAACCCTAGGGTCTTCTCAAGTAGTTTCTGAGCTATGACTTCCCCTGGGTATGCACATTGACTTGCTAATTTCCCTCCATGTGTAGTTGCTTTTAATGCCTGGCTTCCAAAGGGAAAAAGGGAGAAAAAAGAATAGGGTAAAAAGGTTGCTAGTCCTTTGAATTCCCTGTAAATTTCCTCAGTCTAAGTGGAGTGGCTTACAGCAAGAAGGGTGGGTGTGACAATAGTCACCTGCATCTCTGTGATTAGAAACAGCAGTCACTGATGAGGGCACAGATCTCTGATATTTAGAGGACATGGTCCTTTTTGCCCATAATTACTCCCAGCAGCAGTGTGCAAGCTGCTACAGGAATATGAGCCCAGCTCCCTGCCAAGTGGCAGAGGGGTGGGAGATGTGTAACTGCTACTGTGCTAAGAGTTGTAATTGATGGAAATTAATCATATTTTACTGTCCAAACCTTACTCCAGAAGTTGGAACACTGAAATAAACTCTGGAGTTCTAAAATAGCTGTATCAGAAAGATCTTGCCAATTCTTGTTTACATGAAGATAGATTCCTGATATCATCTTCTCAGAATTCCCCAATACTCATATCGTTCTCATATACTATGCCAGATTTTCCATCATAAGTTTGTAACACTCTTTTAATAATACCAGGAATGTCTGGAAGTACATTTTTTCTCACAGGCTCACCAATAGAGTGGAGTGTCCACTTGGGACCATTGCTAATCTAACAAGTAACAAATGGAATTTCATTGTGGTTTTCATTTGAATTTTTCTTCTTGTGTATAAAGGTGAGCATCTTTGTATATGATGAAGAGTCATTTACCTTTCTCTTTCTGTGAACTCTTTTTATTCTCACACAGTGTTTTGTGTTTTGTTTTGTTTTTTTTTTAATGTACAGATGATGTTTTTTCTTTCCTAATTTGTAAATCTACATATGTTAGGGATTTGAACATTTTGCATCTGTTGTTAATTGCAAATATTTTCCCTAGCTTGTCACTTGTGGCTTTACTTTGTTTATTGTGTCTTGCCAAGCCATTTTGTAATGTCATCAAATTTATCTCTTTATTCCCTATTGCTTCTTGATTTTGAGCCATAGTTAGGAGAGATATGCCCACTCTCACATTATAGTAGAATTCGTCTGTGTTTTCATCTATTACTAGCACTTGTATTGTTTTATTGTTTATTATATATGAATATCCTCTCCATTTGAGATTTACGCTAGTATAAAGAATGGATGCAATTTGATCATTTTCTGTATGGCTCTTCTATTTGATAAATGATAGTATTCAAAAATCCATTTTCCCCTACTGTTTGGAGATGATTCCTTTATCATCTGCTAAATTGTCATGTGCAATTTTGACTATTTCTGGATTTTCAAGTCTATTGTACGGGCAAACTTTTTTATTTCCTCTCACATAATGCCCCAGGAGAGTTTCTCTTGTTGTCTCAGTGTTGAATTAAAGAAGTAATAGAAATTAACCCATTTTTTGATATGTCTGACTTCTGGCACCCTGGATTTGAATTCAAGCTCTATCTTACATTGTCCCTTTGATCTTGTACACATTATTTAGTATCTCAAAGTTCTCAAGTCCTTCTCTGTAAAATGGGAATGATTTACAGACTTATTGATGATAATTTACATAAAGCATTTAGCACAAAGTAGGCTTTAATAATTGGAAGCCATAGTTTTTTTTTATTCTTACAGTTACTGTTTTGCCAAATGCATAATATGTTCCATAGTTACATGATATGACTTCTACTGTTTCTTCACTTTGAGACAGAGAATATCATGTTAAACGAAGATAATGAAATTGAAGAAAATTTCTGCAGGAAGAAATGTGCTTCAATTCACTATAATGCCTGTATTTAAGAAATATCCTCTGTAGGCATTAAGAGTATCATCAATGTATTTTGATTTAATATGATTGATGTAATTGGCTGGATTCTTGCCTTTAGAAAAATATTTTACCAGCTGGAACAGAATATGTTCATTTTAATTTTCAAGCAGCTTGATATTTGGTACAAATTACTAGTCTTTGTTTATTACAAGATATGGTAGAAGACCATGCAGACCATAATTAAGATTTATGCACCATTAAAACACAATTTTATAATTCAAAATTTGCTCTCCCGACACTTAATATCTCTTTTCATGTGATGAAGTTTCAAGTTAATTAAAGAGCTCTCCTAATAAAAGATATTTAGAAAACCATCCAAACAAGAAATATTTTCCATCTTTCTTACTCATAAGCTAATTAATTACATACTACATTTGTGTCTCCTTTCCCTAGACTGCATAATTTTGAAACTTAATTTACTAACGAAATTGTGATTTTGTTCCTCGGTTGATGAAGGAAAACAGATATAGCACACACACATATTACCTCTTGTTCTCAATTAATACTGAAATTTCACTGTCTTTCAGGGACTCCGGAGGATTACCCACGATTTTTCCATATGCATCCTAGGACGGCAGAACTTAGCCTCCTGGAGCCCGTAAACAGAGATTTTCACCAGAAATTTGATTTGGTTATTAAGGTAAATTAAATTAATGTTTTATTACCTTGTGTTTCTAAACTGCTAATCAAAGAAACCAATAGCGGCTACTGTAGGCTCTTTTATGTTATAAAACATAAAATTAATCTGACAGCAGTTAGCGAATGTTTTTGTTAAAAAAATTGAACTGTGGCAGTTCTATTGTGTTGTGTTCTTTTAAAATATCAGTTTGTATTATGATGAGATTCAAATACTGACCATTTTTATATGTAATCAATGTCCTGGTTAAATGTATATAATACTACATAATATAACTTTGTTACACTTCTAGGGTTTAATTTTTCTTGCCAAAAAAACTAATTTTTGATCACAAAACCTTCACTAATGACTATATTTTAAATGTACATGCATTCATATATTTATTTATTTTAATAATGCATTATTTTAAAACTATTGTTGCTCTTTCTAACATAAAAACAAAAGATCTTGCCTTTCCAGAAATTCTTTTAATATATGTCTCGTTATTTTCTTTATTTTGAAAAATGATCCCAGACTGGAAAAATTATCAAAGCGAGGGGAATCCACTTGGCATTACAACAACAGTTTAATAATATTTACTGTATTGTAATAAAATCATTTAAAAGGTACTGTGGAAACCCAGATGTTCTGCCAGTTAATTCTGATAGACTTTGCTGGGAAGGTAATATTTGAGCTGGACAGGGAAGGAATAATGGTAATTTATGGAGGGCACTCTAATTAATAGAACAGACACAAGCAAGAACATGGGATAAATCTAAACAATGGGTATTATATGACTTTCTCATATCTACACACAGAGAACCATAACTATAGAAATGAATCCCTAGGATATTTTTTTTTTAATTTAAAAGTGTTAAAAGGAAGTAAGATGGGGAAACTTACTGAGCAAGTACATTGTACAAGTCCATTTTTCATTGAATTAGAGCCACAACCTTAGTCGTATGCTCACTGGTACAAATGTGTAACTAAGCTCAGGTAAGGTGAGTGATTGATTCAGAGTTAACCTCACTAAAAAGCAGCATCTAAGTGAGGGCCATACTCTTTCACTCCACCCAGATGCAGTTGCTTAGGAATGGTTGTGTGGCTTAAATATGTGTCACCGCAACTGCAAACAATCATCCGTAGACAAACAGTTAATGTTAGCTCAAATTAGGATGTATTTTGTGAGCACTGATCCTGTTGTGCATTGCCACATCCTGAGATTAATTGGTTGTCTTCTGTCCTTGAAGAACTTGTAGTCTATGAAGGCAAAGAGTTATATAGGCCGATAAATCAAATATAACACATCAGCCTGCTAATATAATAGGAGGCCCGCTGAAACGTGCTGGAAAAGCACAGAATAGGGAGATATCAATTAATCTGGGGACTCAGAGAAGATGTTCTGCAGATTGTGCCAAGCTCAGTGTTGCTTCATAGGAAGAGTTCGGCCAATGGATAGAAGTTCCCTATGTTTGAACATAAGGAAGAGCAGAAGTGAAAACAAGGAGGCATGATGTAGGCAGCTATGAGTGGTTAATGGGGAAATGAGGTATAGAGGCAGAACATGGAAGAGCCTCATGGAAGACTATTTCCTTGGATTTTGTTTAGTAGGACTTGGGAGTCATTCCACAAAGACAGACTCCTTTTACCATTTGTGTAAAATGGCCACGCATGAAATATATCTTCTTGCACTGACTATTTTAATTATCGTGGAACTATATAAAACTCAAAAATACGTTTCCGTTGTCTACCGGTGATCTGCTTATACTCCTGTGGTGCTGCTGTCTGTGGGAGGTGAGAAACCCGATGAAGCAGTGTTTCCAAACCGCCTCATTTCAAACCTGAAATCAGTGATTTTCCTTTATTATAAGGTTAGTTGTCCTGGCATACCCAGGTATGGTGAAACTCAGCCCATCAATTACAGAGACCAAAATCAATTAGAACAGGCCATAGATAATTTTTTTATGGTTTAATAACACTATATATTATTAATGGAAGTTTTTACAGACATTATTAGATTCAAATTACTGTGTTTTGTGTGCAGTCAAGGGGATAATAAGCAAAGGTATCAATCTATAAGAATAATAATGTGCCACCTGCTTGAGTAATAGCTGAATATTGTGGCTTTGTATAGGGATCCATTGAAATGCTACAATCTGGCAGTTCTCTCTAGTAGGTCTTTCAGCTTCTTCCCTTTTTCTTATTTTAATAATGCTTCATTTTTCATTGGCCATAAAAGTTTTTATTGGATTTGATCCCAATTTCTGTTTTGGAAGCTAAGGAAAAATAAAACAAAATGAAGCATTTTCTCCTAGACTTTGAGAATTCTGCTTTTAAAAGATACATGCACATTGCACAGCTGGTAAGTGTCATGGTTAAGAAATTTATCATCTTTATTTCATTCGGCTCAGCCAGTGATTCATTCAGCATCCTACAAAAATGGAAAGGTGAGACTAGGAAGAGAAAATGGAGTAGTTCACCAGCTTTAAGATATTACAGGATTGGAACTTGTCCAGTTAAAAGAGGAAAGGGCATTCCATTTCTAGATGCTATTCCAAATCTAAAATAAATGTCATCACTTAAGCATTTTTAAAATGAAGCACACATTTTGAATAAGAATCACACATTTGGTTGGCTCAGGATGGTTCATATTCATGCCTGTTGTCTTTGTGTAATTATTCATAATATCTCTTTCACTTTCGAAACCATCCCAGTTTGGATGAAAAGTTACGTGATCACCATAGTTACGAAGCAAAAAGCAACTATGAGATAGAAATACAAAAGCATATTTTAGATTCTGGGTGATCATGAATTAGTTCATGCATGAAGTCTCATTAACAAAGCCCAGAAAATTCTCTTTTGTTATTGTAAGTGTAGTATTTAAAAAAGAAAACTATTGGGGCGCCTGGGTGGCGCAGTCGGTTGAGCGTCCGACTTCAGCCAGGTCATGATCTCGCGGTCCGTGAGTTCGAGCCCCGCGTCGGGCTCTGGGCTGATGGCTCAGAGCCTGGAGCCTGTTTCCGATTCTGTGTCTCCCTCTCTCTCTGCCCCTCCCCCGTTCGTGCTCTGTCTCTCTCTGTCCCAAAAATAAATAAACGTTGAAAAAAAAATAAAAAAATAAAAAATAAATAAATAAATAAATAAAATAAAAAAGAAAACTATTAGTACATATGTTGGTGCTCCAGATATCTAACACAAATATCTAATGGATAAATTATTAACAATTCACTGCCTGGCAGTTGCTCAAACATTTTGCTTTTTATCTAAAAAGCAATTTGCTTTTTATCTAAATCCCATGGGTTCAAACGAGGCTCACAGACAGGATTGTCTTATGGTCTGTCAGATTTTTACATTTTCCCACTGGCTTGCTTCTACCCTCTAGCAGGCTGACCTGTATTCCTTGTCCATCCACGCCCTGAGGCTATCAACTGGAGCCCTCATTAGTCACCTGCACGCTTTCCGCTTTCCGTCTGGCCATCCTGGAGCACTAGCAGTACTCTCCAGTCGCCCTGTTCTCTCTGCCCCCGGGCATTTGGAGATGCCACCTTGCCTCCTGAATCATCTTATCCTTTCTCATGGGAGTCTAGTTCACACCGAGGCACCAGTAATTAGCATCGGTGGGCTTTACTTCCTCTGGAAAGGCGCCACCGGTTGGAGGCTTCTTCTTACATCCCTGCTTGTCCCTATGGTGGCTCTGATCACTCTACATTCAGTTTTTCTGTTTATTTTCTCTTGACCTCTGCAGTAGTGCAGATTGTAATATATGTCTTCACACTGTGGCCCAAGACCCTACCCCATCCGTGTATACTGCATACAAGGTGCTCGATGAATTGTGTTAGTTTTCTCCCTGGCACAAGAAAACTTGTAAAGCTGCTAGATTTATATACCTACGTCATCACTATATTTACATACATACTTTTTTTTTATGAAATTTATTGTCAAATTGGTTTCCATACAACACCCAGTGCTCATCCCAACAGGTGCCCTCCTCAATACCCATCACCCACCCTTCCCTCCCTCCCACCCCCCATCAACCCTCAGTTTGTTCTCGGTTTTTAAGGGTCTCTTAAGTTTCGGCTCCTTCCCTCTCTAACCTCTTTTTTTTTCCTTCCCCTCCCCCATGGTCTTCTGTTAAGTTTGTCAGGATCCACATTACATACATACTTTTGAAAGTGTATGTGTTCAGTACAACTTTATCTTGTGTCTATTGCCAGAAAAAAGTTGCAATAAACTTTTCAAATTCAATCACTTGGGGGTGAGGGGGAGGGCTAGACCTATGTTAAGGCAGAGTTTAAAGCCATTTATGACTATATTAAAAAAAGAAAAAACCTCCCCCTAAGGAAAAGATATATATTGACACAAAAAATGAGCCACAGAATTGAAACTGGCGAGCTTAAATATTAGTGATGATGTGAAGGTTATCCTGGGGAGTTACTTTGCTCCAGTCATGTGACAAAACAGCGCATCCTAGGAAGGACTGAGGCTCAAGAGAACAGCTATGTGGCACATGGGTTTCTGATGCCACAGATCATTGGGTTCTTTCTGAATGGGGATACTCATTGCACTCTACCTCACAGGGATTCAATGGAAAACTCAGGCTCGCTTGTTTCTAAGGCATCTGGCATTTGCTGGTTTTCAGTTTGCCACATCTTTTCTGAGCCCTTAAGAGGTGCCTGACATTTTGCTTGGTGTTGAAGAGACAGAAATGTGTGGAGGCTTTGCCTCAAGGAAACGGCAGGTATGGAGACGACGATTTTAGACTGACCTCCCTTCTGAGGTCTGCATCAATGTTTGCAATTACCGGCTGGATAACTAGTCCCAGGGCAATGCAGGCGTGTCGTGTTGAGAGTGCAGCACACTCAGCACCTGTGAAAACCTGAAGCCTTCTATTCCTGCTTTTCTCTTGGCTCACCACCACCACAGTCATCCGGGCACCCCATCTAGGAGATGCCAGTTCCCCAGACACCTGTCCTGCGGTCCACGTCCAGTTACCATTGGGTCTTCTCCACATAGCTCTGGGGTTT